GCTCCTGGAGGAAGCTTTTTAGCAGTGGAGGGACCCCTGGAGCCATGGTGGAAAAAGAAGATCACTATTAGCTAACATTTACTGGGGACTTCTCTGTGCCAGGCTCTGCTAAAATTGCTGCATACACACAAACTTACTTAATTCTCACACCAGCCCTAGGAGGTCAGTAGCTTTATTATGCTTATTTGACAGGTGAGGAAACTGAGGCACAGAGAGGTTAAGGAATTTGCCCAAGGCAATGAAGACAGTGTGGAGCAAGGACTAGAGCTCCACTGGTGTCACTCCAGGGCCCAGGCTTCTAAAATGCCTCCGGCCGCTACATCTTGGACAGTGGGTTCCACTACTGACGCATCTATTCCATTCAGTGTGCTCTGGGAAGGGAGGGCTGTGCAGTTGGGCCCCGCACTCTTCCCCAGCTGGGAAGTGGGGAGTGAGGTCACAACAGACCAGTTCCACAAAGCAGGGTGTTGTTAAACAGCTCATGCAGGATCTAGATAATTCTGTACTCCATTCTCAGCTCTACCTCTTTGTTGCTGTGTGACCTTGGGTAGAATGGGACCCTCTCTGATCCTCAGTTTCCTCCAGTGTACATAGGGACAATAAGGTCTGCCTCACAGGGTTGCTGTCAGGATGAGCCAGGAGAGAAGAGGTGCTCAGCAGCGTCTGTTGTTTTCTCCATCTCCCAGTGCACCGTAAACCTTGTCCACCCATGACACAGAGCAGAGCAGGGCCTGGCACTGATGACGGAGGGATGAGGATGCCTACATTGCTTCCTGGGGGCTGGGTTCAGGGCCAGGTTTGTGGGCATCATACCTCGTGTATGGGCCACCAGAGGGTTGTTATGGAAGATGAGCTCGCAGAGAGATGGGAAGAGAGCTACTGGCAGGATGGCATCTTCCTTCGCGATCTGTAAGGAATGAAGGAGAACATCAGCTTGGCACCGCCCCCCACCTCTGTCCAAGTGCTTCCAGGCCCCACAATGCAGCACTGCATGCTCCCTAGGACTAGGGTGGGGCTGGGGGACTGAGGCTGCTGGGTACAGAACTCCCTGCTGGGCAGCATCTTATCTCTACAATTTCATCTGCTCATACCCAGAATACCTTGCCCCTCCTATCCGAAATTCCACCATCACTGTTATCGTATTTGAAAGGTAAGATTTTTTTCCCTTCTCCACAATGGATATGTAGTCCATACCAAGTATTGAGATGTTGGTGACAAAATAATAAGAACATATATATAGCACTTGTTGCACAAGGAGTCTGGCAAGACATTGACTTTGACTTCAGGATACAACTTGTCTGACACTTCATCTTCCTCAGTGCAACCTCTATACACCCAGTCAGTCCGTCAACAGCACTGATGGTCTCTTTCACAGAAGCCTGTCCTGTTCACTGATCAAGGGAGGGATAGGGGACAGGAGGTCAGGGGTTTCATGCATGTGAGTGATAAGCAGAGCCAGTGGAAAGGGAAACCTCATGGCTGGCTGGGGCCCAGAGGCCACTCTACCCCTTATGAGGCCAGCCTCTGAAGGGTAAAAAATACACAATCCTTGTTGAGCAGAGTGGCTGGAATATCTGGGGACAACCGTGGGCAGAGTGTCTATTAGCAGTGGAATAGTATCAGAGGGGCCACGGGCAGGGCAGTGGCCTTTCAGATGCCTGGGCACACTGAAAAGTGTTGTGTCAGATTTGGGACCCACAGAAGGCACCAAGGTCAGAGGGCTGGGAATAGGACGGTATTTGAGTTGACTTCCTCTGGAGCCTCCCTGGGGAGCACTAGATGCCCAATGGGCAATTACCTATTCATTCTCTTTCCTTTTTGTTCCTTTGATCAACAAATATTTATTGAATGCCTACATGTACCAAGCACTGGGTTGGGACTGAGCAGAACAGAGCAATTCCTATCCTCAAAAAATGGTACCTAGTGGGAAACAAGCACTGAAGAAACAGTAACACAAAGGAGTAAATTTACAGCCGTGATTAGCGCCACAAAAGAGAGACACATGAAGCATTAGGGTGATTGGACCTAGTCATGGAGGTAAGAGAAGGCGTCCCTGAGACCTGAAGGATGGGTAGGAGGTAATTAGTGGATGCAGTGGGGGATGTGGGATGTGTATGTGTCAAAGAAAACTCTGTATTAACCAAAACCATCCCCTCTTCTTTCTGGGCACACAGCCAGACTGTATCCTCTTGCCTCCCAGGCACCTATGTGTGGGCATACGACTCACTTCTAGCCAATGCAAACTGGGTGGAAGTGATAAATGCCACTTCCAGGCACAGTCCTTTCAAAACCTCCTGCATGATCCTCTACGTCTCTCACCACCCTCCCTTCACTCAGCCATGTATCCACCAGTTGCACAGGATCCAATAATGTACTCTTAAGGTCTTATGGAACGACACAGCCATAGCCAGAAGGGACTTGGGTCTCTGAGGATCATGAGGACCTGCCAACCAAGAATATCCACAATGTATTTTGTAGAAGCAAGAAATAAACTTTTGTGTTCAGTCACTGAGATTTTTAAGTTTGCTGGAGCAGCTAATATTACTTACTCTAATGCCAGAGAGGAAACGTTCCATACAGAGAAGAATGTGTGAAAGGCCTCACAGCAAGGAGGAGGAATGCCTGCTGGAAGGATTTAAAGACAGCAAGTGTGACTAAAAGCAGAGAGAAAGGGTGCTTGGAACAAAATGAGGCAGGAGATGCAATTATGGACCAGACGAAAGTTAAAGATTTTGGTCCTGAGAGGACCTATTAGATAAATTTTCAGCAATATGAGGACTTAGGCTATTGCTTCAAGAGGCATATCAAGATGGAAGACAAAGAGGATGTGGAGTTAACCTCCCCCTACAAACACATAAAAAATATATCTATAGTGGAATAATTCTCATGGAAAACTAACAGAAAAACTTTTATACAAACAAGACAGCAAGAAAGATTTCCATGAAATTATGTAGTATGGAAAGAAAAGCACTGGGTTGGGACGTGAGGAAACTAAGAGGAAAGGGCGACTGCATGTTCACCCTGGGGAGTGAACAGGCATCCCAGTCCTGGGGTCCCACGCAGGGGAGACAAGCCCCCTTGGCTGCCTGGTAAAATACTGGGACAGATATCAAAGCTGGAGAAGCCTAGACCCCTAGACTGGTAAGGAGTACATGGGCCACCTCTGCCCTAGAGATGCAGAGGTGGTCCAGGGCCTGGGGTATGGTCCATTTGGGGCAGCAGCAGCCACTGTGAGTGCTCGATCACTCAAACAGAGCCACGAGGTGGCTCAGACTACTGACAGCAGCACAGCCACTTTAATTCCCTCAACCATGACACCACGATCCCCAGTCCCCGCCTAGTGAACGCTCCAGCCCTGCTCACTCTACACCACAACCTTGCACTAGATGTGGGGCTACCACAACAGGGGAAAAGATGCAAGCTCGGGCTGCAGCTGAACAGAGCTTCAGACCTCTACAAAGGCAGAGGATTGCACCTATGTGTAAGCGCAAAGCCCCACTTACTTCAGCACCCCCTCCTTTGGGCAAAGGCCGCATTGCGGGAAGAAGGAAAAACACACGCCCTTAAAGGGAACAGAGCCAGATCAAGCCAGACCCTCAGGGCTTCCGTTTCAGCAACTAGGGAGCAGACCCCACCCGTGACAGAGCTGCAGCGGCCACTGAGCAGACAGGAAGTTCTGCCTCACACTCTGCTGGAGGCACTGGCTCCTCCAATACCAGCCACAACCCCCTCAAGGTGACAGTGGCCAGCACACCCTGAGGAAAGATATGGCTGGCACCCATATCAAATCTAGCCCTCAAACCAAAGATGTTGGGCACATCTACTCTACATAGGGACGCGCTCACAGGCACACCAAAATCACAACTATCTGCAGAACAACCATCAATGAAAAGGACCAGAACATACCAGAAAAGATCTTCTACCGCAAAAGATATAAAGAAGGAACTATGATGAGATTGGTAAGAGGGGCGGAGCTGTGATATAGTTAAGTCCCACACCTCCAGGTCGGTGACCCACTAACAGGAGGATAATTACAATTGCAGAGGTTCCCCCAAAGAAGAGGGCTGATTCCTCACACTGGGCTCCCCAGACTGGGGATCCGGCACCAGGAAGATGAGCCCCCAGAGCATTTGGCTTTGAAGGCCAGCAAGGCTTACTTTAGGGAGTTCCAGAGGGCTGGGGAAAACAGAGACTTCACTCTAAAAGGGCACACACAAAATCTCACACACTCCAGGACCCAGGGCAGAAGCAGTAATTTGATAATCGCCTGGTTCAAACCTACCTGCTGACCTTGGAGAGTCTCCTGGAGAGGTAGGGGGATGGTTGCAGCTCACCCTGGGGTCACAGACTCTGGAAGCAGCAATTTTGGGGGCTCGTTCTACTACATGGACACTGGTGTTGGCAAGCTCCACTGCAGAATCTTCCCTCTAGCTTATTAGCCCTAGGATGAAGCCCTGCCCTAGCCCAACAGTCTGCAGACACCAGTACTGGAATGCCTCAGGCCAGGCAACTAACTGAACATGGACAAAGCCCCACCTACTAGCAGACAGTTCGTTTTAAGAACCCGTGAGCCCACAGCCACCTTTGGATATGGCCCTGCCCACCAAAATGCCCAGGACCAGGCGCCCAAAATTAGGGCTCAGAAACTAGACCTGAGACCATAGGATGCAGCCCCACCCACAAGTGGGCAGACACCAGCCGCAAGAAAACCAGAGTCCTGCAGCCTGTGGATCAGGCCAGCACAAGCTTCAGGACACCTTGGACCCTGCAGCCAACTGTGTCAGGAATTAGCCTTAACCATCAGTGATCTGATATAAGCTCTGGGACCCCCAGGCCCTGTAACCATATCCCAGGACCCAGTTCTGCCCACCAATAGGCAAGAACTAGCCCCAGGACCTGGCTTCACCAGTCATGCAACAGCCCAGGGTCTCCTGGACCCTGACTACCCACTAGTAAGCTGGACCTGGGCCCTCTGCGGTTCTGCAGTCAGCAACCTCATGACCCAGTTCTACCAACCAGCAGCCGGCAGCTTATGACCATGGCAGGGCTTGGCGACCAAATGGACTAGGGGTGAATCAAGTCTACCAGACCGCCCACATAGCCTGCCACAACAGAGCCCTCATGGGGGAACCCCTAGAGCATACAGCTCTGGAGAGGAGAGGATAGTGTGCTGCTGGGATGCACAGGACGTCTCCTACAAAAGGACAATTCTCCAAGGTCGAGAAACATGAACAACCTACCAGATACATAAAAATAAAAACAGCAACTTAAGCAAAATAAGGCAACAGAGGAACATTTTCAAAATTAAGGAATAAGATAAAACCCCTGAAGAACTAAGTGAAGTGGAGATAGGCAATCTACCTGAGGAAGAATTCAAGGCAGTGATCATAACGATGATCAAAGAACTAGGGAGGAAAATGGATGCTCAGAGCAAGAAGTCAGAAGTTTCTAACAAAAAGTTAGAAAATATAAAGAACAATCAGAGATGAAGAATACATTAACTGAAATGAAATATACACTAGAAGGAATCAACAGTAGACTAAATGATATAGAGGAACAGATCACTGAACTGGAAGTCAGAGTAGTGGAAATCACTGACCCTGAACAGGATAAGAAATGAAGACAGCTTAGGAGACCTCTGGGACAACATCAAGCACACTAATATCCAGATTATAGGAGTCCCAGAAGGAGAAGAGAGAGAGAAAGGGGCTGAGAACATAACTGAAGACATAATATCTAAAAACTTGCCTAAGGTGGGAAAGGAAACAGACATCCAAGTCCAGGATGTGCAGAGAGTCCCATACAGACTTAACCCAAAGATGAACACACCAAGACACACTGTAATCAAAATGACAAAAATGAAAGATAAAGAGAGAATATTAAAAGCAGCAAGGGAAAAGCAGCAAG